ATTTGGGACGAGAAACAAATTAAGCTTAATATGAAATTTAATTTTCTTTTACTCTTATCAGTGGCGTTCTTTGCGCCGGAAAATTCTTTATATTCCTTAAAATTGGGAAAATAAAACAAAAATGTAGTCAAACGATGACCAATCGACGTATATAAATACTTTTATCCTATTTATTACATGTGCCTTAACATGCTTAAACATAATAGAGAAGAAAGTTTGGTAAAATCTATTTAATTAATTAAATTTGAATCATTTTGTAAATTATTTTTTAATTAAAACTTGAAAATTGCGCTCAAATAATAACGCAATGCTATGTGAGTGACAAGCATCTTTGTTATTCACCAAAAACATTATAAAAGTAAATGACTACTGTTTTAAATAAAATTATTTTTATAATATTTATACTTTTTAAACAATTAATCTATAATAATACTTAAAATAATTAAAATTATTTAAAATATTTCCCCCCCCCCTGTTAATCATTTCCCTGATCCATTTTTTTATTTTTCGAAGTTTCCTTATAAATTCCGTCCCGGCAACATGGGAATTTTAGGTGTTTTCAAATAATGATTAACATTAGATATCCCATACATGCGTCACATGTTAGCACAGATGGCTGCACACATATAAACTAGTGCTGTACTAACAGCGCACTCTGTATGCCATACTCTTTACGTTGTCGCACACGTTGGCCAGCATTAGTTTATATGTGTGCAGTCAGCTGTGCTCACATGTAATGTTTGTGTCAGATGGACTAGGATACGGATTTCAAGTTATCAAACGTATTTAATCAAAACAAAATTAGCAATATTATCTGGTACTAACTTAATTAAATTAACAATATGACGTTTTGACAATTCTTGATTTTGTATACACTTTAAATTTAAATTGTGCTGAACACCTATGACTCTATGTAAACTTGCATTAGTTCTCCTAAAGATCTACTTAGCACATTCATACTTTAGATCATGCATGTAGAATAACTTTGAAAATATGTCATAATAATTACCTCAATAAGCAATAATAAAATATTTTCCTTAAACTTGTAATTATTTGTTAACTGTTAAACAACTCATATTGTTTCCTTAGTTTAGTTAGCGCAATAAACAAACTTGTATAACAAATTTCATTACTTTATACATTCTATTTGATTTTATTAATTTAATTTTCAATCAACAGTGTTTCTTTGTAACATGGTCAACATGTGTATTGGTGCAATTGGTATTAATAACGCCTATATTTATCATATTGTTAATAAGGTTAAAAATTATAAAATAACTTAATTTTAGCAAGATTCTGAATCATTATAATTATACATTGTGAACCTTTCTCAGACACCTTTCTAAATAACACTTATGTATTTTGCCTAAATGTTTAATTGCTAGATGTTTAAGTAAATATTGATATATTATTTATATTACAGAGGGAGGGGTTGTTTATTTAATCCTTACAATTAGACATTTAGGCATAATACATAAGTGTTATTTAGAAAGGTGTCTGAGAAAGGTTCACAATGAAAAATTATAATATATTTGGATTAATTATTATTATAGACAACCAAAAAATGCGTTTTTAATGCTTTTGCACTGAAAAAATTATTTATGATTCATTATTACAAATATTAAAACTGTGTTCAAAGCAATGACTCAACACTACATGTATATATTGTTAAGTTTTTCAGTGCAAAACCTTCATAAACGCATTTTTTGGTTGTCTATAATTATTATTAATAATATTATTTAGAAATTTTAAATGGGGATTAATAACAATAATTACATGCAATATTTTACTGGCGATCAATACATTTTACACAATGTATTCAAATGGTATTACAACAGAAACCGTTAAGCATAATGAAATATTGACAAATAACCCATGGACAAATTATTTGTATGTATACATTATTTATAAGCAAATACGAGTTTGTCAATTATGCATAATTTACTGTAAAAATAAATATTGAATCAGAATTAATATTTTATTTAATACAATCTAATACTATTATTCTATATGTTATATACATGAATGTATTATCACTCTTTTAAAAAAATTAAATCTAAAGTAATCAGTCATACAATTATGAGTAGAAAATCATACAAATTAAGTCAATTATTGAATTAATTTTTTAATTAAACCCATTTAGGCTGGAAACTGGTACAGCTAAATTAGTGTACTCAAATCCGTTGAGCTACGCTCCAGCCTACCTTAATGGTTTGCTATTGTTCAGCCTCATTGATCGTGGTAATTCAAAGGCCATATTTGCTAACCGTATGGTTATAAAATTGTGCAAGATCATGTGGCTTATGGTACCGGCGATGGCTATCATAATACTGTTTAGAGAGAGCGCACTATTTGATGAGCTGCCAGTGTTTAGCGCTGGGGAACGTGCGCTGACCGGCGCTATCGTATCTCTAACCGCCGGCTATTTGATCATCTATTGTCGCGAACGCGGCGGTCGTTTAACGGGCTTTTTGTGCTCTAGTTATTGGCGGCCAATACGGTCGGCACAACAGACCGCCTACTTATTTCACCCGCACGTATTGCTACTAATGTTAGGCGCTGTGCCCCCGCCCCACACCATAACCATGATGGTCATGTATGGGGTGGCGATGTTTATCGTCATATATATTGTGACGATACCCATGGCATTGGTGTTTGAGGTACCGGCGATTAAAGCGCAGCAAATGTTGTCAAATTATTTGTTTGAATCAAAGCTAATTAAACATGCAAAATTGCGGCATTAAGTTTAATCATGGTGGCTTGAAATTAATATTTTTAAATAATTATCAGACTATTGTGTTTAATTTAGTTAATAGCTACTATTATTAATATTAACCATAGACTTCAAATGTGAACTAATCATGTATTGTAGGGCCAGTTTAACGACAATATATTTTAACTATTGATTTTAATAATAATACAACAATTTATTTGAGTATTCATTATTGTTATTGTTATTTTAAAATTATTATATTAAATTAATATTAATAAATTTTGTTATAATTATTTAAAAATTTTTATTATTATCATTAATATAAATCTATGTTATTAATCAAAATTGTAAACCATTACCAAAAATCAATTTAGATTAAATAAAATCCACAATCTAGAAAGCAAAACTATGATGATCATTTTTAATATAATTAACAGAATGTGTATTTACTCTGCGCCCAAATTTAAACGTTTTGAGAAAAATACACACAAATGTTAACGCTTTTAACGTAACAGTAACCAACACCAATTTAATTATATTTGGCCAAAATTCAGCATCGTCAATTGACATGGCGTACAGAACAGTTGACATCTGGTCACCCTGGCAACGGTCAAAGCCGTATATTGTAATCATAAGGCATTCGTAGGCCAGACGTATATAGGATACTTGGCTAACCGCTTGTAGCGTATAATGTAGCTCTTTCACCGGGATCAGATTGTTGCCCAACGTTAGCGTCACAACAAATACCGTAAGGGCTAATATGAGCGCCAGTTTGGGTTCATTAATGAACGCCAGGGCCGATATTTGGGCCACACTTTGCATACACAATATCACTAGCAAATTGAGTGCTACCGTCATTATATAGTGTGTATATGTATTGTATAGGTTTACAATCCAACAAAACACTGGCACCGATATGAGCACCGGTATCAGGTCGACAATTGTACGGCTCCATAGAAATGCGCCCGTGCTATACCAGCCTTGAATGATTGAATGTGATTATTTGACCACGTAGTACTGTGCATACATCATGTACAATGCTATACATACGATTATGTTGTTGGCCGCGAAATACGCGCATATCGGCCCCAAAATTGACCGACATTACAATTAACGCAAAGAACGCCACTGATAAGAGTAAAAGAAAATTAAATTTCATATTAAGCTTAATTTGTTTCTCGTCCCAAATGTCGCGCTCGGTTTGCGTACAGTCGGCGCCGAATGACAACTCTAGGCAACCATCCGGCGCTATCATATCGGCGCTGGCCGTGTATACCATAAGCAACGCCAATGACTGAAAGAGTATAAACTGCAACAATTGGAACATCCATTGACGCGGTCGCTGCCATCCCTGGCTTACCATACGGCGCAACAGGTAATACGTGTCGCGCACTGAGAACCGCTTTGATATACTCGACGGGTCGGCTATTAAACGCATGTTTGCCAATAGTATGTTTGCGTTCAAATGCACGCCATTGTCATACGTGTGGCCGGTATTTACACCAATGCTTGCCAATTGTGTCGTATTCGATGCCACTTTCATTAACACATCGATAGGCACCTGACTTTCCTGGCATTCAATGCCATTGTCTGCGAGATGTTGTCTCAATCGGTGGGGCGCTCCTGAATACAGACAAACCCCTCCGTTGGCCAACACATAGATGCTATCAAACGTGTGAAACAAATCGTTGTTTGGTTGATGTATGGACGCAATGATTGTCATTCCATGCGTTCGCGACAACACTTTTAAACAGTTTATTATCTAAAATTCAATTAAAAGTATAGAATATATGCATATTATGTATTAATATTGTTTGTAATAATAATAAAAACTAATTATTAATAAGTTATTCATTAAACATAAAACTCCATAATATTGTGCGACGACTAACCACTTGTGCGGCATTACTATCCAAACCACTCGTCGGTTCGTCAATGCATAGCATATTAGGCTTTATATGTGAAGTCAATTCACAGGCAATTACTATACGTTTTTGTTCGCCTCCACTACACGTCTCGACCCAATTGTCTGCCGTATCGCCGATCGCCAGCTCTGACATCAAATCCGTCACAATTTTATTGTGGTTTAATTCAAGACAAATCCGGGAGTTCTTGAGTCGCGACGCGTATAACAGTGTCTGTCGTACAGTTAGTCCCGGCGACAGGTGTTGCCAAACCTCTGACATTATAAAACACGTCTGATATCGGGCTCTATTCGTTGCGTAAAACTTAGTGTCGGTACTTAACCCACGGTTATTCTGGCCGATCAGACATTTTAATAACGTTGTTTTCCCGGCACCCGACGGCCCCATCAAAGCGTTTAGCGAGCTTACTGCCGTACAGCCGCTAATATTATCTAGTATTATTTTTGACCACGTACTAAGTTTTGTAGTTTTGGCATGTAACGTTAGATTAAGCCACGCGATAAATATTTGATCGCTTTGTTGCCCATAATTAATATTATTATTATTCAATTCAATGTTTAGTTTCGTATTATTCGGCGCTAAATAATCAATATTTGTTTTAGTAAATTGATTATGATATTTTTTCCAAAATAATTCCATTTTAATTGACATGCTTGTTTTTATAATGTATGAAATATACTGGCATATTAATAGACACGTATAATAATACATATACCATCGGGCGTATTGTTCAAATAATTGTTCTGGCTCAGAATCTATATTGTATTCAATTAGAACTTTATTATTATAATCACGAGGGCATCGATTGTAACCATAACTAAGTATTAGAATTGAATTATAAAAATACTTATAGTAACTAAAATCTGAAAACCATTGTATAATCGGTTCTTGATCTTTTACAGGTACTAAATAATTATCATGTACCAGTAACATTAATGGTATGAAAATTGTGATTAAAAGTGCAATATTTTGATTCTGGTAAAATAATATTCCAATTATTGATGCCATTGTTTGTGTACACAAAAATGTCATTAAAATGACATATATTAATTTATATATCATGTACTGATTGTCGACACTATTCACATAATATTGTAATATAAAAGCAAAGATGAATGCGTTTATAATACTAAAAATTGTATCACATATATATTTTGCCCAGAAATATGGATGCGAATTATACCAATCTGCAATTAAACACAAATGTTCACATTAAATATTACTTGATTTAAACTATAAATTATATAAAGGGCCGGTCATTATATCTTAAGCATGTTAAAATCGTTATTACTCGAATACTATAATAGATAATTAAATTCTGTAAAAAGCATAAAATAGTTCAATAAACGCTAGTTCATCCCATTAGCCTATCCAAATATTTTGGCCACGCGGTATGCTACATATCGGGACATTTGCAAACTACTATACTACAGGTCAAACTAGAATAGTGGCAGTGATAGTCTCAATACAACATTTGTTAAGAGAAAACTGATGTTTAATATACAAAAAGAATTATTAAAATCCGCCAAGTACTTTATGTTTTATGGGGGAAAATATCATAATTTTTAAACAAAATTGACAAAAAATTAAGTTTTACAAAAAAAAGTTTTGATATTTTAAGCAGTAGAACCAGACATAATTGACAAATTAGCAGTACCCATGAACTTTACATTTCTGTAGGTTCAATAATAAACCATAGGACTAACCTTTTCATTGACTTTTTATTTTGCATAGACCTTCAGAGACGTGCCGTACAGTCTAGCGTTTGGTAGCGACTGTTACGGGTGCTGATGAACTCGGGCTTTGTGTCCGTACAGATACGGGTGTCGGCGCTGACAGTGTAGGGTGTGCTCGAGCTCGAGCTGGGGCTCGTGGATGTGGTGGTGTCGGTGCTGTCAGAGCTGGTGGTACTGATAGTAGGGCTGTTGGTGGACAACCGGCCGGTGCTCATCGAGATCGCCGATAGTAGGGTTAGCCCACAAATAAGTAGTGTTTGTTTTGATAACATTTTTAATGTTGTAAAATAACTTTTGTTTTGCAAAAACTACTTTTCTATAGTAAAACTTTTTATATTTAGATAAATACTTTTGATTATTACTGTATATTTTTAGTGTACTCTCTGTTAGAATATTATGTACACTATTGATAGGGAAAGTGAGAGACAAATGGTTTGATTCAAATAAAATTCAAATACTTTTTCAATGTTTCACTGGATTTGAGATTTTTTCACTGATTATTATAATAACTATTTTTGCTATTTTATTATTAGTTATGTTTTGTTAGCAATTGATTTCAACATTGATTGCAAAAAAACACTATTATTTTTATTGTTTGTAATAATAATGAATTTATCATTTAATTTATTCCCAATACAGTCATACTATCGATATAATTCACGCTGAATTCAATATAAATGGAGTACATTATTTAGTAATTAATACCATAATTAATTAAATAGCATTAGAAATTAAATTAAAATTGTCCAAGAATATTCTGTAATAAAATCTACTAGTTTACATTAAAAAGTTTGTAAAATACACTGTCTATAATAGCTGTAATAAATTGGTTCACTATACCGGATATTGTACGTGGTATTTGTTTATATAAAGCAAAGTCATCATTAAAACCCATTATTGAGACCAGAATTTGTGATTTATATCTGTATTTATGGGTAAATGTATTTCACTTTTACGTTAATGTTTTTGTTTTTTACTGTTTTTAATGCATTGTCACGAAATTTATTTAACAACAAGTTAATAACAAATATTTAGTAAATGTTTTTAAATGTATAATAACAATTAAATTCTTATATTATTTACTATTAATTAAATATAAACATTATTAAAATATTATTATTAAAATGTTCACATATTAAACATTAAATCATTTGTATTGGTCTTAAAATTAAAATTATAATATAAGATTAACATGGTCTTAGGTGTATTTAAATACTCTGGCTGCACATACGATTAGTTATTGTATTTTAAATTAAACTAGATTAATTTATTATAAGGATTAAATTTTTATTTAAGTGAGATAATAAATCAATTAATGTTAATTATACATTCTCACATCCTGTAATGATCTATTAAACTAACCATTAAGGCCAATCAAGTGATGTGTTTTACATGGTGATAAGTTTCAAAGTTTAAAAATGTTTACCAGTTTTAAATAATTTTGTGATTTTATTTTAATAATATTTTGTTTAGCATAAATGCAAAGAATGTGTTGTGATTAACATTTTATGATTAAAATTACATTAAAATTACAGATGAATTAAATATTAATAGTTTACAATTTTATTAAAGCATTATTTACATAAAAATAATAACACAACTAATTATGAAACAAAGTAATAGTTAAGTCAAATGTCTACTGAAAACAGATTTGAAAAATAATTATAAAAAACGTATAAAAAACAATTAAAAGTCATTTAAAAAACATAATAAAGAGTGAAGTGAAAAGTCAAACACTACTCCAAATAGCCTTCGGATTCCTCGAAGGCGTCCATCCATTCCATGTAGACATCGATGGGTGCCGTGAGATAAGTGGTGGTCATCTGAAACCATATGAAACACTTCTGGCACTCAATACGACCCGTATTGCAACTCCTGTCCAAATTCACGTGACACGACTTGGCCCGACCACAGTATGGACAGTCAAACTCCGTGGCAAACGGCTCAATCAGTTTGCGCACAATCGGCTTTCGTTGACTCTTTCGTTTGGCCATTGATTACCACCTCTTCCTCTGGTGTATTGTCTTCTCTCAACTGATCCAACACTTTGTACACTGAGGTTATATATCGTTTACCACTTCTTCTGCGGTGTATTGTCTTCGGAGATTGTCTTCCCTCAACGGATCCAATACTTTATACAATGACTTGATTTATATATAGTTTGATGTTTTAGCGCCGATGATAGAGAGTAATCACGTTCTCGTGTATTGAGTCAAACCATGTATGAAGTATTTCAGTGCTTAACACCCGGTCTTATATGAAATGTTTTGCGTTAATGTCTCCATAAAACTCACATTCAAATGTATAGTAAAGTATATCTAAAAATTTAGGCACATTTATAATATCATGCTCAAATGCTGATCAATAAATGCTAAGTAATACTTTATTTATTAATAAGTTGGCATTTTCTATAAAGTTTAAATTGTATATAATTTTCCAATTGATTAAATATGGCAATTAATATCAATGGAATTGTTTTTACTTTATATTAGTTTTAAAAATCTACCTTTAGGAAATTTTCAATATTACAAGAATATCTAAAAATAATATTTTAAACTACAATTTTCTCAAAGTAATCTATGTATAAAACAATGATGAATGCATCAAATGTTAGATTTAAATCCTAATCAGTGATTAGTAATCACACATTGAATTATTATAATATAACATAACATTCAATATTATTGAATCTTAATAACTAATATGTAGGAAAATAACATTATTTTTAAAAATTGTATTATTATAATAATTAATACTTTGTTTTATAGCTGTGGAATTAAGCGCAAAATTAACTTGATAAGTTTTTTAATTAAATTGTTTTAATTAATATTTATTACTACTATCAGCAGGTGGAAACACTTTGCTCTGATATAGCATTAATTTTTCATATTTTTAGTTGCTTAATTTAGTTTCAAAATTAGTATAAGAGTTTTATGTTTATTAAAATTATTTGATTATGATAAATAAATTAATGTTTTTTATAGTTATTTTCTCATAGCCTGCAATAAGTTTATTTAATTACATCTATAATTTAAAACTTACAATGAGTATTTATAATTAACTATTCAATTTTATTAAATTAAAAAATTTTAATTGTCATTTATTATAATTAATTAATTTATACAAAATGATTTCGGGTATAAAATCAACTTAGATATATAATTAATTTAAAATCATAATTATGATGTATACTAGCACTAAAAATACAATTAATAACATATAAAGTAGTAACTAAAATAAATACACACACTATTAAAAACAAATCTGATCTAGCATGATCTCAACACATTTGCACATTACATTAAATATATACAACAAATTTAAATGATCATGGCTAAACAAACTCGATTAATCTGCGTTTTTCATCAGGGGTAGCCGACCGGCCAGCGCTAGTACAGCACCCGCTCGATATGATGAACAACAGGGCACTGATACCGATCATCCCGAGTCCCAAGTAGTACAGTGTGTACGCCGTCGACAACAGACTATCATCGTTAAGACCATTGCTATAGCTGTGAAAATCGGCACCAATTCCCAGCATAAATATGCCCGACATTAATGTCAGGGTGACCAGTATGTTGTCCCCGATCATTGTGATTGTGTGTTGGTCACTTAGTTAATGTGCCAGGTTGTAATGCAATTTGTGGCGTGCTTATTCATCAAACAAATATGGTCGTTTTTATTTTATGTACG